AATTCATAGAGGAGCCAGAAGAAGGGAGAAGAAAAGAGTAGAGGGAGAGAGACTGACAGACAGATGGACAATAGAATGCACCATCGGCTGCCAGGAAGCCTCTGCAAAGAGCAAGAGTTCACCCTGTTTCACAGAGGGAAGCCGCTCCAAACCCAGCCGAGTCAGCAAAGCATAATCACACCAGGGGCTTTGCTTAATTACAGGTTTGAGAGCGAGGGCTGGAGGAAGAGAGATACTTAACTGTGTCCCAGGGAAGGCCCAGGCACTCAGATGGTCTGTGTGGTTGGGGAACACAAAGACCCCACCAACACACACACACACACACACACACACACACACACCCCGCTGAGCAGGATCCTGGACGGCCAGGCAGGGGTCTGCGCGTGTAGACTCGGGCTGGCTGGAACAGCCATGGGGGGATGGGGACTGCAATGTTCAGTCCGGACAGGAGTCCCTGGCTGAGGCGTCCTGGTCAGCAGTGAGGCCCCAGCGTGGGGAGGCCCTGCCTCTGCCTGCAGCAGGGCCACCCGCCCTGCCCACCCCCCACTCGCTGGGGAGGCCAGGGGCCTTTCCCCAAGGGGGGAAATCAATCCCGTGCTAATGAATAAAAAGTCCCCTTTATTTCACTATGTTTTTGGTTCATTAAATTTTCCACAGATTTGCAGAGAAGAAAACATAATCAATAAACCCTGACAAAAGTGAACGTGTGAAAAAGGCCTGAGAATGGAAAAGCAAGATAAAAGTGATATCCAATCACAGATTTCAGCCATGACCAGCTGAGGCCGCTGACGAATCTCAATGGACCATCACTCTTTTGGGCTTCCCTTCCCTTTGCTGGAACTCCTCATTCAAGACAATAGTAAATGCACTACAACTTTTTTCTTATGCTAATGCGTGAAACCGGGCACTCAGTTAAGATGCCCTTCCCTTCCCGGCACCCTGGTTTTTTAACCGCACACATGCGCACACACAAAGCCACATTCACTTACTCCACGTAAACCAAAATCACAAAGACGGTTTACTATGTACTCTCTGGTCACAACTTAAATAAGTTATTTTCCCCCACTTGTATAAAAGAAACCAGAATCAGAACAACACAGGATTGTTGAGGACGCTTTTGTTGTTGAAGAAACTGAGAAAATAAGATGCTAACCACGCACAAAGTATGCAGTGATGGTTGTCGGACTTTCCCAAGCTTTAAACATAGATTATGAAGGGTAAGGATGCATCTGTCACCCTCAGCACCTACACACAACGATCAGTGATTTGTTTTCTTAAAGCCTTTCTCTGCCACAGCAAACGCTCAAACTCATTTCAGAGAAAACGAGTCCCATTGAACCTGGAGTCCTGCACCTATTTGAAAAGCAGGAAGCGGTTGCTGTACACCAAAGGGCACACCGAACGCTGCTGTCCACCCGGGAGCAGGCGGGCAGCTCCCTCCCGTGCTGTTTGGCAGCCGTGAGCCTGTCCCCGGAAACTGCTGTGCACTCTGCTCTCCGGGACCCTCGCCTCGACCACCTCCTCGCTGCACTTTCTGGAACCTGAGAACAGTTCTTCTCTTTGGCATTCTTCACGTGTTTCATTGGTCCCTGCCTCTGCCGCTTCCTGAAAAGAAGAAAGGGACTGCTTCCCTGGGGTTCCTTTTCAAAAGGCCCTGGCCCCGCGGGAACAGCTGCAGCTGTCCACCCCAGGGCCCCCGAGGGCCACCTGGCGCATCTGCCTGGAGGCCCTCGAGTACCAGGTCCCAGGCCCTGGCACAGGTAGAAACCACCCCCCAACCTAAAGCAGCAGCGCGGCAGGTTGGCGCCACCTCCGCGGCCGGGGTCATGGGTGAGCAACACTTGGTGAAAGAAAGCCCTGCGGAACACACTTGCACCAGGAAAAGACCGGCTGCCTCCCCGAGAGTGCACAGGACGGAGGGCTCGGGTGTTGACCTTTCATAAGCCAGCCACATGTGCAGGGGTCACACAGGCTTTCACAGTGCACAGGACAACCTCCAGGTCCGAGCTAAAGGGGATTGCTGGCATCTGTGAGGTGAAGTGCTCCGCCCGCCCCCCCCCCCCCCCCCCCCGCCCCACACCCCACAGGCCCTGATGGATGAAGGGTGTTTATTAGGCAAATATCCAATTTTGTCCGCCTGCTGCTGAATCCCCTGCTTTGCTAATCCAGTCCTAGGGGCTACACTGTGTACAGGGCACTTGTGGGAGTACAAAAAGCATGAAGTATTTGTGTATTTTTCAGTCTGCAGAGCAAACAAGCCAGCCTCAGCACACAGCTCCCAAGCCCCCTGGAGCCCGGCAACCAGCCGCGGACCCATGGCCCTGTGGTCCCCTCTTGTGGGCTGGAGCATCCCTGGGGCAGTGGAGTGGCCTCCGCCCTAAGGCTGTTGGGCCAGAGGGCCCTAGTCTACCTCTCACACACACTTCAAGGGCGGCAGGCCAAGAGTCCCCCGCGCCCCCCCCCCCCACACACACACAAGGCCGGGGAACCTGGGAGGCTCCGTGGAAGGAGGCCGACCTGTGTGTGAAATCCCCAGAACAATTCCCAGGGAAGGTGAAAACATCTCTCACAGCCCCACCTCCTTCCTCAGTGAGCCCGGCCCTGGTTTGGGAGCGTTTCTCTCCTCTCCTTCTCATGCGCACCTACTGACTTAGAAAACAGACAGGTCTGGCCACACTCTCCCCGGAGGCTGGACCAAGGGAGGGCTGTTCACTGGAGGGCTGTCTCCTGGGCCCCGGGCTCCAGGCCCAGAATGGGACCTTCCTGCATCAGTTTCCATCCCCCCAGAACCACTAAACCTCACGAAAGTAGCCTATTTCTCAAAGCAGAGGAGAAATACAAAGCCACCCTAAACATTTCAAAATATAACCAACTCTGAAACTCTCAGAGAAGTGACAACTGTCCCCGTCTGGGTGTGAGTGGAATTTAAATCCGGGAGAGAACATCTCCACAATTTCCTGTAACCCTCAGCCGCAGGAGGGAGCGGCTGCAAGTCTAGGAAAACGAAAGCAAGACAGATGAAGAGGAGCAAGGAGGGAGGTCAGAGGCCCCAGAAGAGAGGCCCGGCCAAGGCGCATCTGCGGGTTCCAGATCCTGGGTCTAGAGTAGACTCTAGAATGACAGGCCTGGAGCTGGGACAGCGTCCAGAGCATCAGAACTCCCAGCAGGCGGCTCAGCCAGGGTGCTCCCCTCCCCTGGGAGACCAGCCTAGGGAGCCGCACCATGAATCTCCTCCAGGCCGCTCCCAGCTCCCGGCCCCACCGGCCTGCAGGACGCCCGGGAGAGGGAGGAGACCTGCCAGCCGAGGTGAGGACATGGGCGCGGAGGGGCCTTGTAGGTGAGGTGGCTCAAACAAACAAACTTAATCGGGGACTTGTGAGGAGCCCGCCTATCGCCCTGCCTCCCACCGCTGTATATTTTGGATTTCACAGTTTATTTACTTTACTTTTTGGCACCGATCCCCCTGAGCATGCCAATACAATATTTGTTTAAACACTATTTTATGCTGCTTGCGAGGGAAACGTTTACTTTCAAATTCTCCAACATCCCCAGAGCCTCGTCTGCAAACAGCATGTGAGCGTTTTACAACTGCGCCCTTCATCTGAAGCTGTCGGGATTAAACCTCACGCCGGGGGCGGGGGCGGGGCCGGGCCGGGCCGGGCCGCGGCCACCGGCGCGAAGCCCCGGCGGGAGGCGCTGCACCCAGCGCGCGGCCGGGCGGGAGAGCGGAGCAGCGACTGCGACCCCCGCGGCCCGCACCCGACGCTGGGGAAAGGCCCGCAGTTCCGGCGGATCAACTCTGAGAGCCACACAAGAATCATACAAAAGAGAGAGCATCCGCGGGGGACCCAAGGCCGGCGAGCGCCTCCACCGCGGTCACCGGGGTGCGGCGCGCGGCTCCATCCCCAGCTACTCGCACCGTGAAAGTCGGGTTTCCTAGGAAATGACAGCAATTCCTGCCGGGCTGAAAAGGCGCCGAGTTGGGTGGACTTCAGCTCCCCGACTCGGCGGGAGTGCGCGCGCGCGCGCGCACAAACACACACACACACACACACACACACACACACACACACACACACAAGCTCCTTCCTCCTCCCCTCCCCACACACCCCCGCCCCCATCCAGGGAAAACGCTCCCCTCCCTAAACCCTTAATAGGATTGGCGCCCAACTCTCTCCGCGCCTCTCCCCATCCATCACACACAGATCAAGTTCCAGTAGTGGATTTTTCAAATTCCTCAGCAAATATACTTGTTGAGAGATTGGCTCGGAGGGTAGAGTACGGGGGAGGGGGGATGAGTGGGGGCGGGATGAAAGTGAGGGTGGGGGGACCCCGAGGACCCGGCCAGGGATTACACGCGGATCCCTACGGGAAGTCCAGCGGCTCTCGGGGCGGAGGGCAGGAGGAGGAGGAGGAGGGGAAAAGCGGAGGGAGAAGGGAGAGGAGAGCTGACCGAGGGGGAGGGGGCGCAAGGCCTGATGAGGGGGAGGAAGGAGGGAGGAAGAAAGAAAGGCAGGGCTCCGGGACGGGTCGCGCGGAGAAGTGCAGTTAGAAGTTCAGGATTGGATGGCTGCAGCCCTCCGCACGCAGCACACTCACCTAAGGCGCACTCTCACTGCCCACCTCCCGGGGTTCCGCAGCATCCCAGCCTCCCTGCCACCACCCCCCCCAAAAAATAAAAATAAAAATAAAAAATAAAAATAAAAGAGCCCCAGGTTCCGGCGCGGTGGAGAAGGGGCGAGGGCCGCCTGGCTGTGCACCCGGAGAAGAGAGACTCTTTCCCCCAGGTAGGAAGGGGGATGCAAAATCAGCCCCCCGCGCCAAGTCACGAGTTCCTACCCTCTGGCCCCCTAAACCCGGTGTCCCGATCCCAGCGCCCAGGCACCCTCCGGGACGGCACAGCATCCCAGCCGGCCCGGATTCGGCTGGGGTAGGGGCACTTCTCAACGAAAGGCAGCGAAAGAAGGCCAAGGCAACTTTACCGAGAGACAAAAGTTTACCTCTAGCACGCAGGTGGCCGCCGGGGCGCCAGGCGGTGGCTGCCAGCCCTCATCCCAACTTGGCTGGCGCGGCAACCGGTCGCTCGGCCGCCGGCTGCCGGCTGCAGGGGCTCAGTGCAGCCGGGCCCGGCGGGCCAGGCAGGAGAGGGGAAGGAAAGGCGGGCGGGGGCCAGGCCGCCCCGATCGCCGGCGCGCGGGGGGCTCCCCAGGCTCCGGCGCGCCGCGCGGCTCGCGCTACTTCCTCCAGCTCCTCCGGCGACCCCGGCCCTTCCTCGCCTGCCTCAGCGGCCGCCGCCGTCGCCTCGCGCTCCTTCTCGAAGTCTCATTGATGGGAGTTGGAAGAAAAGTCCGCGGAGCCGTGCTGCCTCGGCTGGCGAGCTGCGGCACTCCCGCGATCCCGGCGCCGCCCGGACGGCGCAGCGCCCCCGCGCGCACGGCGGCAGCACACCGGGCGCCGCGCACCCGCCGCCGCGCACCCGCCGGGCCCGGGGACCGGAGAAGAGGAGGCGGCCGAGGACGCTCCTCCCAGCCCGGAGGAGAGGGAGCACACCTACAAGGAAAGTTCCATCCGGAAAGGAGAAAACGCGCCGGTCTCCAACACTTTATTTCAGGCGCCGGGGTGGGTGGGGGTCGCTAACTCAAGTCAGATGAGCCCGGAGCGGAGGCGCTGGCGCTGCTGTTTCCAATCTCTGACATCACCGCGCTCCCCACCTCCCTCTTCCCCTCCGCCGAGAGCGCCCGGGTCGCTGCTCCCCGGGCGCCGGCTTCTTAGGGCGCAGGCGGAAACCCGGAGGGAGGGAAGGGAGGGGTCCCTGGCTCCCGCGGACCCTCTCCAGCCAGCAGTGCAGGCAGGTGCCCTGGGTCCTTCCTGGGCCCCCGCCTCGGCGGGCCTGAGTAGCCATTTGAACGCTGGTTGGCGAGAAGCGAGGCAGCCTTCTAGGGTTAGTGCTTGTGTGTTTTGCTGGGAGACGTTTTGTTTTGTTTTGTTTTGTTTTGTTTTGTTTTGTTTTGTTTTGTTTTTAGAGACTCCACTGGAGCTGCCACAGCCAGATGGAAGTAATCAGAACCCAACAACAGAGGAAGAAGGAAGAAAAAAACCTCACTGAATTTTGGGGCCAAAATGTGTATGGGGGTGTGTGTGAAAAAACTTGTTAAGCAAACTCGGTGGCTAGGTCCCAACCCTTCAGGGACCACCAGCCTCTCCAGAACTGAGGGTCCTCACCCACTGGGAGAATTTTTTATTTTTCTTCCGAACATTTGTGGAGCCCCTACTGTGTGCTAGGGGACAGGTTTTATTTCCTTTATTTTATTTAACCTACAAAACTCCGTGAGATAGGTTCTTTAATACCCAGTTTTACAAGGGGGGGGGGGGTTACTGAGGTTTAAAGACGTTAAGTATCCTGTCCAAGGTCAGAGCACTGACGCCATGAGTGTCAGTAGTTGCAGCATCAGTTCACCTAGATTCACCCAGTCCTGGGCGTGGGAGCATCAGCCCCTCTTCCTACCTTGGACCTTGTCTGGCAGCAGGCGACTCACAGGCTCAGAGACTCAACTCTGCCTGCCCTGTGGGGTGTGAGCTTCACAGGCCCATTTCCTGATGTAATTCCTTGTTTTCAGTAGCCCTCTCCCTACACCATAGAGCTTCCCTAACTTTATTTTTCACTTTCTAATCAAAGAAGCAGCATGCTGATTCCCATTTCCTCTTACCCTCCTTTCTTCCTTTCTCCTTACCTGCATCTGTATGAGAAAAGCAACAATTTCTTCTTGACCTGGAGGAAAAAAAAAATATGCAGACTAATATTAGAGCAACTCGATGCTAATTTTGTTTTTCTTCAAATAGGCTATCCAGATGGGAGGAGGGAACCTGCAGGGATTTAAAAAGCAAAACTTGCAGAGGCCAATGCATTTATTAAAGGGAAGTGAAATTTGAAAGGGGCTTTTTCTTTAAATATGATCAGATTCACCATTCCTCCATGCTATTTGTTTAAATTCCTGCTGAGCTTTCAGAACACGGACTCCAAGGAGACAGAAAAAGTAAACGCTCCCTCCCGTCCTTGGCCATATTTTAATGACCCTATTCATATCTACCGCAGGAAGTGCGGGGAATCGTTTCATGTTCCTGGAATATTAGCAGCGTCGGCTGATTACTTCATTACCAGCTTGTCTCTGTCGGTTTCCTTGTGTTGTTACGTTTGTGAAGTTTAAACAAATCAACATTTTGGGATAGTTCCTTTTCTCTGTTTTGCTTCTCCGACCAGCTCAACTCCTGCTGGAATCCAGGCACTCCCATAACCATTCCTGGCTTATTTTGGCAAGAAGGTGGCTGTGGAGGTGAAAACGGAATGTTTTCAGTTTGAGGAGAGGCTGTAGAACCGGGCCTTAACCCCTGATGGCCAGAAGTTTGGGCACCAGAAAAGGCAGCGGGAGGTTGGGAGCAGAGGCAAACTGACAGAGCAGAGAAGCCTGCACCTGAACCTCAGCGCACAGCTCCTGGTCCGCGTCTAGTGCTAAGTACAGGGCCTTGGGCAGTCCCAGTCCGTTCCCTCAGCAGCTCTGTGTGCCGGACGCGGTGCTGAGTGATGTAACTCCACAGGGAGGGCGGCCGGCCTGTGGGACCCTTTGCCTCTGGAGCTCACTGCTCACTGGAGCTCTGAAACCTTGCTCACCCATACGCCTGCTGGTCATGCTGGCTGTTGCCTGGAGGCCTCTCCATGCGGCCTCTCTGCGTAGACTGGCTTGGACTTCCTGGAGCCCGGTGGGTGCCAAGGGTGAGCTTAGTGAGAAATAGCCAGGGGAAGCCCTGTTGCCTTTTAGGAAACCCTCGAAGTCACACAGCATCACTCGGCTGCATGCTGTTCAGTAAGACAAGAAGTTCTAGGTTTGAAGGGAAAGGAAAATAGACTCTACTTCTTGATGGGAACGAAAATAGACTCTACTTGATGGGAACGAGACTCTGGAGAGCATCTTGGGGCAGAAACGGTGCTGGGGAAACAGGTCTGCCCCACAAAGCTCACTGGAGACGCGGGGAGAGGAGCAGGCAGCCCGCAGGTGTGCTCCGGGGCTGGCCTACAGAGCCCGGGAGCAGGCACCGAGCACTAGGAAGAAGCGGGAGGCCAGCCTCTACCTTCCAGGAGTCCACACTCTGATCAAGAGACGCACAAATTTGGCCACAATTGAAGGTCACGAAAGGACACACTAAGTGAGGAGCGGGCTGTGGCTGAGGGGAGCAGGTGGTAGACTGCACAGCCAGTCAGAGGCAAGGAGGAGAGGAAGGCGGGGCCAGAGCAGCGAGGGCCAGTCCTCCCAAGGGGATTGATTATGGATTGTTGTTAGGGCTCCTGAGATGGCCCGGCTCACTGCCCCTCCACTCACTCGGCTGTATTCTATTCATTGAGACAAGAAGTTCTAGGTTCAAAGGGAAAGGAAAATAGAGTCTGCATTCATTCATTCATTCATTCATTCATTCATTCATCCTTGTTGAGCTCCTACCATGTACCATGCACTTTAGAGATAAAAAGGTGAATGAGACACAGTCCTTGCTTTCCTCCACCTGCTCGTCCTCGCTGGGTGGCACTCTCATAGGTCCTTGCGTCAGCTTAGACGAGTAGGGACTAGGAAGGAGGCTGTCATGTGCAGGACAGCTTGGAAAAGGAAAGTGCTTCAGAGGGGACCATGGGAGATTGGTGCAGCCCTCCTGGGGACAGGAGGGGAGGGGATGGGAGAGGAGGGGAGGGAAGGGGAGGGGGTAAAACCAGCAGGGCTTGCTTAAAGGTCCAGGGGATGTTTGCCAGGCTTTCTCCCCCTCAGGGCCAGCCACTCAAGGACTTTTCTCAAGACACATTGTGGGTTTCTTAACCAAACTGAAAAAGATAACATCATCTCATAGCTACTAGTGAGCCTAAGAAATATCAATAGTCCTCAAGACAGCTTCGAAAGGAATTATTAAATATACCTAATTAAAAAACAAATTACTATAAGATTCTGAACTGAGCTACACACCGATCTTGGGGATAGCCTCCGTGCCCTTACTGCATTAAATTTACCTTCAATTAGCCACTGCTCTTGGGGGTTACGGGCAGCCATGGAGAGACAGTGGGCGATGGCCGTGTTCTAAGACACCTGCTTCCTGCGGTTCTGTGCCCTCCATTCCCTGCCTCCAGTGGGAGGAAGCTCATGTGGAAGTCACCTGTGGACTGCCCTAAAGGACATCTGAACGCGAATCTTCCCCAATGGGTATAGGTAATTGCTCTTCTTTGACCCCCTTCATTATTATTTTATTAATGTTTCAACTTGTCTTTTAAAATGCTTGGTGTCAAAAGTTCGTGCCTGGGTTACTTGGTGAGCTTCCATTTGCCAGAAATCAGCTGGAGAGAGGTGAGGTCCCACTGCCTTTGAATGATTTGAAGAAGGAAAGACATGGCTTGGGGAGGCCCTGTCAGACCTCCAGGAGGAGGGCCTGGGCAACATGGGAGCAGGCACCTAGTACAAGAGGCCTGAGCAGGTGCGTAGGGAGGCTAGCCCAAAGCTCCCCCACCCCTGCCCAAATGAACACACGAATAAGAAGTTTTCCCATGGATAAGCAAAATGTGCTAGAAGATAAAATGGAAGATAACAAAGGTTATGATAGCAAAGAAAAAAGAAATATAACCCGTCAAGGCTTTAATATAAAAAGAACTGTCAAAAACCTGAAAAACCATAAAACACCAAAACATGTGAAAGTAGACTTGAACAAATGGAAAGATACCTGTTTTTGGTTAGAAAGATTCAACGTCATCAAGGAATTAGTTCTTCCTAGGTTGATGTGTAAATTATTGCAATCCAAATAAAAATACCATATATTTTTAGGACGGCGGGACAAGACTAGATAAGTTAACAATTATAAAGTTTATTTGGATAAAGAAAGAAGAATAGCCAGGAAAAATGATGAAAAAGAAACGCAATGGGGGGGGGGGGCAAATAAAGCAGCCCTATCCGACATGAAAACACAAAGCCTCTATAATGAAAACAATTCAGAATTGAATGAATGAAGGAAAAGATAGACAATGGAATGGAATACAAAATTCAGAACAAGACCTAACTATGCCTGGAAATTTTAATTTTGATAAACGGGGCATCATGAATGAGTGGGTGAAAGGTGTGCTTTTTACTAAGTTATACTGGGATAAATAGAAATCCCTGTAGGCCAAGATATCATTTCTCACCTGTCATACTGACAAAACCCCAAGCTTGACAACATGCTCTCACAGAGGCTGCAGGACAACGCTCCAAACACCGCTGGTCGCCATGCAGACAACCCCCCAAGAGGGACATTTGGGATATCCAGCAAATCACACATGCATCCACCCCTTGACCTACTCATCTCTCTTCCAGGTGCCTCTCTCAGCCACAGGGAGCAAAGGCTCATGCGGAGCACTAGTAATAAGGCAGTATTTGGAATGTTAAAAACCAGAAACAACCTGTCCTAAGTGTTTCCCTCCACGTCCTGCGTGGTTCAGGGTTCGGGTCTGGAAGAGGAGCCGCACAACAAATGAAAAAGAAAAGCCACAAGATAATTTGGGAATATTGGGGGACCAGGCGGTAAGTCCAACTCAAGAGGAAGGACTTCCACTGTGCTCAGGCCTCACCAAGCTTTTTATAGTGAGGGGTAAACAAGGTAGTGGTTACCAAAGTTACACTGTTCTTGTGAGTTTCACTTGTTTTTGTTCTTGTGAGTTTCACTTGTTTACACCATGGTTATACTTCCTGCACTTCCTCAGTCCATTAGCTTCCCAGATAAGATCTAGGGAGTGTTATAAGGTCAAGCCTAAATATGCTAAGAGGACTGTGCCCTCTAAGCTGGGAATTGTTTGTGACTTTGCCAACAGGTCAGTCCGAGGCTTAACCCTATATCAGCTTCCCACAAAACCCAACTCTCTT